ACAAACAACTTCTACGTGGCGTGACAATATTCCCAGCAATTGAAAAAGTGCGTTCGGACTCTGCCGATGTAGCTGGTATGCACAAATATCTTGCGGTTAATTTGAAAAGTTCCGGATAAATAGCACGGTGATTTTTCCACCATGTTAGGGGATGAATGTTGTGGCCGATCTGAGGTTCAGCCAAATAAGAGTCGATTTGTGACATAACATTATTTGTTGGGATTTCACCATCAAACAAAAAATCCAAGTCAGTATGTACTACGCTGTCTGTTTCTTGGTTAATGACATTGCTTACTTGAAGTTGGCTTCTGATAAAGTCATAAACCTTGTGTTTTGTTTGCGAATCTTCATCATTAAGGTTCTTATATCTGGGGTCTAAAAATGAGGAAATTATTGGAGCTGAAACTTTTTCTAAAACACAACCCATATTGAACCTTTCAAAAAGGGAATTACGTGCAGTTTCTTTGAATATATATTTATTTGCATCATCTTCCGACGATGCGGCCATGTGGTTTTTAATAAGACGGTGTATTAAAGGTCGCACTAAAGACAATGTCACATTTTTGCCACCACATAGCACTGCAGTCGCTTTATCAAAAGGTTTCAAAATGTCAACCAAGTTCTGCATTTCACCCCACTCCTTCTCTTGCATTTCTAGCCTCAGCGCATCGCAAGTTTTTGTAACGGTTTTATCTGATAAAACTAGGCAGATTGCATTTCGATTCAAAAGCAGCCTCTCACACATGTAATATTTGGAATTCCAACGTGTTTCGCAGCATTGTATGAGTCGATTTTCCTTTATCCCCAACTGTACTTGGCGGTTTACTAGTGCAGTTTTGGCAATATTTGAGCGATGAAAATGTGCTGTTAAATTTCGTCCTTTTTTGCAAATTTTATCGTAATCAGGTACAGCTGCTAATGCGTCTTTTATCACAAGCTGCAAAAGGTGAGCGCTGCACTTGATGCTGTCCCCTATATTAAAAAGTTGTTGCGCTGCTGCATTCATGACTGATGCACTGTCGTGCGTTATCGCTTGCGTTTTGTCGGAAATGTTCCAATCGGCTAAAACTACTTCTATTGCCGATGCAATGTTTTCTGCATTTGGTCGGTCTATAAATACAAATTATTTAAACAATTGACATGTCTTAAAATTAAAACACAAATTATGCATGTATGTATGAGTGTATGTGTTCATTTTATATATCTACATACAAGGTAGTTATTTTAATAGATTTACCTTCTAGTTGCTCGTTACAAAGTGTAACTTTGCACAATTCACTATTTTTGTCAATATACTGGGCTTCGACTGATAAATAACAATCTTGAGTTCTTGATGTCCATTCGTCCACTGAAATTGATGCGCTTTCTACCTCCGCCAAATCGTTTGCAATTTTTTCTCTTACGTCATTATAAAACAATTGTAAACGTGAGAGTATACTTTGTTGAGAGGGAACTTTGTATCCCGGTTCCAATAACTTCATAAAGTCGCGAAAGCCTTCAGAGGAAACGAAAGAGATTGGTAACATGTTACTTGCGATTAGGCGTGCCACTCCACGAGATATCAATTCTTGACGTTCAAATGTGCAGTCATGAACGGTGTCGTGCTTTTTTCTCTTACGGCCACCCGAGGTGCTCGCCTGCGTTTCAACGCATTCACCACTTGTTGCATCGATATTCGTGTCCGGTGTTCTATATATGTGTAACAAGCTTGTGCTCTATATTTTACTTATAACTTATATTTTTCTTTATTTGTACTTACATGCCACCACCACGAATCGGTTCCTTCTTATGCACTTGTTTCAAGTGAGTGCTTAGCGAGGAAGTGGAGTGGTGGAAACTAAGGACTGCTCCACAAATGGAGCAGGTAACTTGCTTACCATCACTGCATTTCGTAAGAAAACTCCACACCCAACTTAGTTTTCTTGCACTCATGTTCACAAAAACACACAAAATTTATAAATTCTTATTTTTTTTTTGACAAATAACACTTTTTACAACGATCGAATATTCGATTTTAAGAAGGTATTCGAATAATCGAAGAGAATCAACTATTCGAATAGTAACATTCGATTTGCAATCGTACAAACAATTGCCATTCGAACGTTCGAATGTTCGAATAATCGAATTATTCGAACAATTTCAAGAGCTCTAGTTGTAATACGAAACGGAAAAGGGATTCAAGTTTCTTATCAAATGCATTGCCCCATGATTTATGGATCTGTTGCCAATATTTTGACTGGCACTAATGCTTCCAGTAACTGTTTTATTTGCCATGCCAAACCGACCGAAATGAATGTTACTAATTTTACAAAAGTACCAATCGCTAATCATTACAAGTATGGGTTGTCTACACTGCATGCTTGGATTAGATGTTTTGAGTGTTTACTCCACATCGCATACCGTTTAACATTTAAATGCTGGCAAGTTCGCAAAGAAAACAAAGACGCCTTTTCTGCGAATAAAGTTAGGGTTCAAAATGAGTTTAGGACAAGATTAGGCTTAATAGCGGACCAAGTAAAGACTGGATTTGGAACAACTAATGATGGCAACACAGCTCGCAAATTTTTTTCAAATGCAGAAGTGGCATCAGAAATTACCGGCATTAATAAAGAGCTAATTCAAAATTTTTCAATAATACTCCGATTAATATCGTGTGGAATGCGTATTAATATCGACGCGTTTAGAGAGCTCCTTATAAGGACAAGAACAATGTATTTGACTGAATACGAATGGTACTACATGCCTAGCAGCGTGCATAAAATATTGATGCATGGGTGTGAGGTTATTCAGTATTTCGATCTACCAATTGGTAAGAAAATCGATTTGTTGCTATTCGGCATTTTTTACTACTACGAATTTATTCCCACAGGCAATTTTTCCGAGGAAGCTCTGCAAGCTTTACATAAACACATACGTATCGTACGATATGATCATACACGTAAAACTGCTCGGGAGCATACAAACAGAGACTTGATGTCATACTTAACAATATCATCAGATCCTGAAGTAGTTTTTAAAAGGAGTGCTATCCCAAACAAAAATGCAGTTTATACAATGGACGAGCTGGAAGAGTATTTAGTCGATGCTGAAGAAACTTAAAAGTAATAAGTACCCTTCAGTCAACTCAATTAGTTTTATACTAATCAAATACTAGTCAGCCACACGGCCTCAACTAGTTCGAGTTCTGTAATTTTTCCATATAAGCAACTGGCCGCGGCGATGTCCTACGAGATGGCAATTGTCCTCTTCTGCATCAGCACTATACCAGTTGGCATACTAGTCAGCCTCTGCATCTGCAATATATCAGTTGACATACTAGTCAATATATACATCAATATCATACCATTTAAGATACTAGTTCGTATATACGTCATGATCGTACCTGTTGGCATACTAGTTGTTTAGGCCTGCATTTTAGGGTTAAGTTTAGCATACAAACCTCACCGAGAGATGTCGCTGCTAATCACTCGCTGACAGGACTCGTTACGTTA